CGGTTCCGGGTTCCATCCTGGTTCTGTCAGGAGCTGCAATTTTTTTTTTTTTTTTGCGAGCCACGGGTTGGCCTACTCTAGATTCACACCAACGTAATCAAGTACAAATCTGAGCTATTTATTGTATGATATATAGCATAGTCATAATGTTCCAGGCTTCAATTTTATTTTTTTAAAAATGGCTGAAACAATTGTGCACCCCTAGAAGTGCTTCCAATAAATTAGACTATAAAAGGAAAAAAATGATCCACAATTATCATCAACATTTAACAAGAAGCCCTCCACGCAACCATTGTTTGAAATTTCTACCTTGAGTTTGTTTAACAAGCTCTGGAGATGATTGCTTATTTTCTCATTTTCAGTTTGAAGCCTGTTGATTTGTTTTGCCTGTTCAGAAGAAAGGTGTGTCAGCACCTTGGCTATTTGTGCTTTTTGACTGCTGAGTTCACTTTTCAGATTTAGTGATACCATAGTGAGACACTCATATTTCTTTTCCATCATTCGGAATTTCTCAAGAAGCTCCTGAGATAAAGGAGAAATGGAAATCAGCTACAATAAAGAATAAAGCATTGTTGAAGAATATTTTACAAACTGATCAATGACTGGCTGAAGCTTTAAACAGCCAGATTCCAGGGGTTCTCTAGGGAATTTATTGGTTTTATTATGGTAAGATAAATAACTATGGAGCAAGATTCCAAATCAATATTTACCAGAGAATGAAATGGGATGCACATGAGGACAGAAGCAGAGAATCTGATATTTCTCCAAAAGAGCTAGAACTTCAGACTCAATAATTATATGCTTTCAAGTGAGCTCAAAATGACCTCTATAGGCCAATTACGCAGTGTTAATGTTATTATAAAAGGAATACAGAAAACGGATATGCAATGTTGTAATTGCAAAGATTAAAAGTTACCAGCATTCTAGAAGAGGTACAAAAGTCTTCAGAACATGCGTGAAAGAAGCTTCTTCCATAGTTACATTATTCCATAACTCTCTAATGAAAGGTTTCTTATCCTGTTTGCAAGGATCCCAAACTAGCTGTGCCATTGGTATAACCCAGTGTGGCAATTCTTATTTTCCTCAGCAGTTATAAAATTGATTGTATTGATTAATTGAATGTTCCCTTCTTTTTTTCAATACTGCAAGAACAAGTGCCCAAGTTTACTTAATTTATAGCATTTACAATTCTCTCTGGACCATCTCAGTCATCTCCTCCCTAGACAAAGTCAGTCTTTCATTCTCACACACTTCACATGGAACCTTTTTCATTCCTCATTCTCTCCACCTGTTTAGGTTCCTGTTTCTATTGTCTCTTAGAGATGGGAGTGACCGAAAATGAACATGAAGCATTTCAATGCGTGTTCATACCACTGATTTATGTGTGTTCTAAAATATTCAGTATATACCATTCTATTCCTTATGGAAACCGAAAGTATGTTAAAATGTGCAGCAACAGCCACAACAGGATAGGTATTCTTTAATTTATCTACAATTTTGCCCAAGTGTAAATTAATTGACTTGAGGAAAAGCATCAAGAGTACGTGATTATTCCAAATTATTTTGTCCAATGTGCACCACCATACTGTACACACTAGTCACATTTTTGAATGTATCTCTGTCAAGTACATAAGCCAGTTCTATTAAGTAATTTACAGAGCAATGAGTGCTACTGCTAAAACTAACCCATCTGTGACAGCTGGCCAGCAGGTGGGATTGGTGAGCTGCATTAAGAATGGTACTGGAAGGAACAGCAATCAGCAACAGGATAGCATTTCCCTAGAATTCAACTGTTTCAAGCAAAGTCAGGTACCAACTGCATACCACAGCATCCTCAAATGAGGTGAGTGCATTTAACCATTTAATTTTTAGGGCAGACGTACCCCCCACCCTTTAATAAGGGTGAAAAATCATGCTAAAAAGGACCATTTAAAATCAACCACTTAGTCTACAATATTTTAGGATGGCAGTTTTGGGGGATAAAATGATTACTAGCCTTTCTACAACATTTCAGAATGTGTTGTATATGTCCATTTCAACTGAGTTGTGTGCACCCCAAGCGCAGTTACTAGAATTTTTTCCATTGAGAGTACCTCTCAGCTCCAGCACTGTGCCGCTCACCATGCTGGTACAGGAGGCCCTGTTAACCTGCTCCCTTTCAATTTCTTCTTACTGACCACCATAAGAGGGGAAGGAGAGTTATTTTAGAATGGGCACATTAACACATCTCAAACAGTAAGTTATAGAAAGGTTAGTAACAGTTTTTTCTTCAAATGCTTGCACTTTTCCATTCCAATATAGGTGATTCCCAAGTAACTGCAGAGGGCAGTTTGGAGTTCAAGGAGCGGCTGCCTGTGAGACTGCACAGCTGAAGCCAGCACAGTCTCTAGCCTGCTGGGTAATGGCATAACGTGTTCAGTTCAGGTAGAAAGCTAATGCTCATCTAAATGTCCAGGCTATGCAATGCTGTCTCCTTTTGGTTGCTGTGAGGCTTTGGAAAGAAGCAAGGAAGGCAAATGGGTTACTTAAGACAGAAAGAGGATGGTACTTCAGGTAAAAGTTTAGGATGTGGGCATGGCATAAACTTGTCTTTATGATAAATGGTGTATGAGAGGGTATGCTAGAAGGGCTCCAATTCTGCTGACCTGTTGGGCAGAGGTAATAGCGATTAGTGTTATTTTCATAGATAAGTGAACACAGAACTTTGCCATAGGGAAAACTGCCAACAGTTCCAAAATAGTCATTATACAGGTGCCAGTCTCCGGGGATCTGTTGGTCAAAAGTTTAGAGGCACTCTTGTACTTAGGGCTGTGATGTTGAATCTGGACCAGTTGGGGACTCCAGTAGCACTAGAGTAGATCCTAGGTCCGTGGAGTCAAAAGATACTGCAAACTGGCCAGAATTCTGTCTGCCTGGAGGAGATGGCTCCTGTGCTTGTCTGTGGGACTTGCAGTTGTACTGGAGCTGAAAGCATCTGATGATGTAAAGCTGGGGAGGAGAAGTGGCCTGGCACAGGTCTGGCTCTTTCCTGGTTCCTGTCTACTTACCTTTGGCACCAGAGACTGGCTCTTCTCTTTGTTCTTAGGCACTGGAGAAGATCAGTGCAAAGATTTCCCAACCCACGAGAGAGATGCTCTGCATGGAGGCGGCGGTGCATGTCGCTAAGTCATAGCAGGGCTCTGAGGATCATAAAGTTGCCTCCGTAAGGAGATCTGGGCAGGGGGCAGGACTTGATGTCCTCCTGAGGTCTCTTCCAGCCCTAAGATTCTATGATTGTCAGTCCTACTTCTTGGCCCTTTTTGGTGTGAGGCTTGAAGTCCCTGAAGATTTGGAAGCAGCCTTTCCTGTGAGAATTCCTCCACCCTTTCCTCCTCCCTTAAGCACACGGCACAACTTGAGATCACTAGAAAAGCACAAACTTGCCACAGGAAGCACAGTACTCAAAACTCACTGATAAAGTCATGCTCCAGCACCGAGAAGTTGATGACTCCAGTAAGTGTGGGGATATCCAACCTAACAATTATTTACATTAACGAAACAGAAGAATCAGTAGGAAAAAAATTGCCTGAGCAACTAGGAGGGTTCCAGCAACCATCACGGATAATAAGAAGGAACTGAGGACAGCAGGTCAGCAGGGCCCTTTTAAATTGGCAGTATGACTGTGCAGCCTTGGGAGGTGACCCAACAGATATCAGTAGGGGAAATTATTCCAGCAACTTTGAAGACATGTATAGTGTCTCAGAGGAGCACTGGAATGCACACACTCAAGCCTGAAATGCACACACTCAAGCTCTCCAAAGAACTATACATTGTATTTAAGGCCACAATTTGGTCACGGGTTCCATGACTTCACCATACCTCTCTGACATCTGGCTTCAGCTGTCAGTGGCTGCAGCTCAGGCCACGAGCCCCTCTTTCAGCCATATATTTTAATCTCCCTTGCCCTTTGATTATTTTAGAAAAGTCATAGGCAGGTCTTGAGCTCCTGTGAATTTTTGTTTCTTGTCCATGATCTTTTACTAAAAATGAAAGTGGCAGAATCTTAACCATAATTATGTTGTATTGAAACAGAGATATTTCTTTAAACTTGTATTAGGGAATGAATGGTTCTATAGTTTCATAGATCAGAGATGCACGTAACTGATATTTACCTTCACTTCCAAGATTTTTGCTTCCATGCTGTCTGCATGGCTCAATTCTCTCTCATCTGGTTGGTTTGCCAGAACGGAGACATCATTCAGATTCTTCTGTTTTAATTCATCTAGAGCACATTCAAGTTTTGCATTTGTTTCAGTACACTGAAAAAAACCAAAACAAAACCATGAATAAGTATTGAATACAACTCTAATTTTACAGTAATAGGACTTCTATTAGTATCCAGTAGTACTTGGGACACAAACCATGTCAATTTTTTCTTCCAGTTCAGTCTTAAGCAGGTCTCTCTCAGACTTTATACCCTCAAGTATTTGTTGAAGCTCATCTTTCTCTTGATTAATTGATGAAATCTGTTCTTGAAGTTGGAGATACTCAGCTTTTTCAGCCAATAACTGTTGGTTTTCATGCATAACACTATTTAATGCATCCGTTAGCTGATGGACCTACAGAAACAACATTACTATGAATTGTTCCAATTGAGTATACTTTCAGTATAATTCACTCAATTATGTCAAATACTGCATACAAAGACCCATTCAACACAACCTTTTAGGTAGCATTTAAAAGAATTAGTAACACCACCACTTCCACATTTTAGCATCAAGCCTTCTTTTCATAATGATATAATTTCTTTAACTCCAATTCTTATATCAATTTTGTGAGTTAGTATTTCCCCATGGAGACCTAGAATTAAATCTTGATTTGGATCACCGGTGAAGAGGAACCTAATGAATAACACAACCAACCTTTAATGTAGTGGAGCTTCATCTATTGCAAATAAAGAAGGGTAGGTGACGGTATTGAGTTTTATAGTTTTACTGACCTATCTTCATCAGCTATTCCACTGAATGAAGCACTACAAATCTAAAATTATTCTGTGAGAATTGTGTCACCTGGGGAGACAGCACAAGTTGAGTAGCTTGAATGTTACAGGTGAAAATGGAAGTGGAGACACAGAATGAGTATTCCTGGCTCTCTAGTACTTCCAGAATATCTGTGTGATGCTATATAATAAAAATGAGAGCATGTATATCATTGATGTCACTGTTAGACAAATGAAAAATCTTTTATAAAGTATGTCATGTTAAGGTGTCAATGGCAGAAGTTATGACTTGCTAAATATTATCCTCTTTAAACCCATGCATCACTGTATTTGAAGAAGTTACAAATACTGGCTACGTATCTGTATCACAAATATGTTTGCTCCTGTGGTAACACATTCAAGGTAGGGATGTTAAATATCGGTTAATTGAATAGTTGAGTAACTTCATGAAATTTTATCCATTAGTCGGCTGTTCTACAGTCCCCAGGGGCAGGGCCAGTAGCCATTGTAACAGAGGCAGCAGCACAGGGTGCCAGATGGGAGCTGGTCCACCAGGGGAGCCAGTTTAAAAATCAGCCCACCCCCCTTTGCAGACTGGTTGCCTGCCGCCCTGGGCTGCTGCTTCTGAGAAAGTGGAAGCAGTTTCTGCCTAGGGTGGGTCTGAGCTCCTGGACCCAGCGCGAGCCAGAACTGAGCTGGGCTGTCTGCCTGCCTGCTCTTAATAAACTTTAAGGCTACATCTACACTGCAGGCTTTTTGCACAAGAATGGCTGTTCTTGCACAAAAACTTGCAGAGTGTTTACACAGCATGTGCGTTCTTGCGCAAGTAAATTTACAGTAAAATGTCAGAAGAGAGAGCTTCTTGCGCAAGAGTTATTTCTCTCCCCACGAGGAATAAGCCCTCTTGTGCAAGAAGGCAGTGTGGACGGGCAACAGGGGTTTCTTGTGCAAGAAACCCCTATGGCTAAAATGTCCATCAGAGTTTTCTTGCGCAAGAGAGCATCCACACTGCCATGGACTCTCTTGCACAAAAGCACATCTCTTGTGCAAAAGCATATGGCAGGGAGGATGCACTCTTGCACAAGACCTTTTGCGCAAAAAGCCTACAATGAAGAGCTGAAATGGGGGTAGGTCCTGGACCCAGCGTGAGCCCGCCCAGCTCTTCATAAACTTTAAATGCAGAGCCACAGCAGGGGTAGGTTCCAGACATGTTGCAAGCCAAGACTGAGTCAGACTGCTGGCCAGCCTGCTAAAAAATTTACTGGTAGGGCGAGAGGGAGTGGGAAATGCGTCTATAGCATTAACTATAAGCTTTTGCTTATCGGTTAATCAACAATACTATTCCATTTCCACTTCATGGTAGTTTATATCCAGTCTAGCCAGCACACTGTAATGGACTGTTCAAGTTTCATGGCCCATCAGACACTTTGCTCTCAATGGAGCATAGAAGAAACTCATTCTTGCCCTGATGGCCAACAGCTACCTCTAAGATTCATCAAGGTTTACAAGGACATTTGATCTATTCATGTGATCCTGGACTCCAGTACTTTTTTTTGTTAAAAGTGCTGGTACTCCAGGGGAAAAGTTGAGAGGAAAAAAAAAAGTGCTGGGGCGGAACATGGAATTGCCCTTTTAAGAGACGCAGGCCCTTTAAGGCACGCAACCCAGCCAACTGTCGGACATTGCATACAGAGGTGCCGGTACTGTGTACCAGGCAGTACTGTCACAAAAAAAGCACTTCTGGACTCCATTATGTGCCAGTAACTTTTCACAGTCTAGACTATGAACTTTGTTTGAAACAGAACATTTCCAGGCACGGGGCATAGGGTATTAAAAACTCCTAGAAGGCTCCATTTTGCTTGTTTCCTGCCCTGATTCTCTGTACCAGGCAGTACTGTCACAAAAAAAAGCACTTCTGGACTCCATTATGTGCCAGTAACTTTTCACAGTCTAGACTATGAACTTTGTTTGAAACAGAACATTTCCAGGCACGGGGCATAGGGTATTAAAAACTCCTAGAAGGCTCCATTTTGCTTGTTTCCTGCCCTTGATTCCTGCCCTGATTTTATTAGCTTTATAAATAAAAAGGAGCACTTTAGACTGCAGAGCTTCCAATCTTTGGGAAAAAACTTTACAAGTCATCAGTTTAACATCACTTGTACAAAATTTAGATTTTGAACCAAGTAAGACAAGGTAGATTTATTGCAGTGATGGTTTGCAATATGGGACTCTAACCAGTCTGGCAATCAAGTTTTGAAGGTCTACAGTGATTCCCTGCTGGCATGCGCCACACTCAAACTTTGCTTTCCTAGGTTAGTTTGTCATTCTAGAGAGAAGAAGAAGAATCCAGTTTTGAGGGAGTGATGAAGAAGGGCCCCTGGGGATTTTTCAAGTTGACACCTGCCCCAGCTTTGGTGGAAAGTCGAAGGGATCCAAAAAGGACCACTGTGGACAGTTCTACCATTGAGTTGGCCACTGGACAGAAAAGGGACTCCTCTGGTGCAGCGATGAAGATCTGCTGCTACTGTACCCTGAGTGGTACGAGTCCAATTCTACCTCAGAATGTGACAACCACAGAGGGGCTGCACCTCTTAAAGTGGATCTAACAGAGGCGGAAGACCTACTATGGTTCCTGGATAGTTGAGGGGAGGTGCCTGGCATGCCATCATTGCTGGCTTTCCTTTGGACTGCTCTAGCAATCTGGGGTACCTGCAGTGCTGAGATAGAACCCTATGTTGGAGGCCAAAATGGTGTTTGTAAGGCGTATCAAGTATTGTACCACATGGAAAACCTCCAGTGTGGATGGCAGGTGGTCACAGCAAGCATGGGTTTTGGGACTTTACTGTCTCACTTAAGCAGGAGTTAAAATAGCCTCAGGATGATCTTTGGCATTGTGGCCCAATTACGGTGGGATCTGTGCCAAGGACAAGTATGGCCCCAAGTAATAGTGATGGTGCCAATCCCTTCTTCAGTGCTGTCTCTTGACGTTGGCACACTCCTAACTGATGAAGGGGCATTAGGCACCACATCTCCAGGGCCGGGGCAGATTGTGGAAGCAGTACTGCCTCTATCAGAGAGTTTCTAAGCCCGTGCTCTCTGTGTACTTGGCTGGAATTCCTGACTGATTTTGTGGCAGTCCTTTTGGTAACCTCACCCTGGCATGAAAAGAAGGAACACCCTTTGGCATGCGCTTGGCACATGACTGTTAAGCTTTGAAGCCCACAGTATGAGGCATGCCCCAGAGAACTGTCTGGGGGTTGGAGAACCCTCCTAACTTAATACAAGAGTTGAAGAAATATGCTTACCCACTTGCAAGGCAAAAGACAAGCATGGGGAAGTTTCAGCTACCATCATTAGTGGTAAGAAGGAATTGAGGAGAAGGTGGTATGGCCCTATACTGAGTGCCATTCCATTGCTACTCCAGAGGGCACCCAGATTGACCCTACAGTTAGCTGCTAAGGGGGGAAAAAAAAATCTTCCAGCTACTGTGCACATGCACAGTCTTGATTGGAATTAACATGAACAAGTACTCTACGAGCAAAAAGTTCAAAAACAAAGAAAAAACCCTAAAAGGTGCACTAGAATCACACTACAGGCAGTCCCCGGGTTACATGGATCCGACTTACATCGGATCCCTACTTACAAACGGGGTGAGGCAACCGCGCACTAGCTGCTTCCCCCTAGCAGACCAGGGAGATGCGGAGCGGCTTTTCTCAGCAGACACCTCAGCTTGAGAATAAAGGACTGAGGGAAGTGAGGTGTGGGAGAATAAAACTGAGCTCTGGAGAAATGTTTGACTAGAGTTTCCCCTACAATATGTATCAGTTCCGACTTACATACAAATTCAACTTCAGAACAAACCTACAGTCCCTATCTTGTACGTAACCCGGGGACTGCCTGTATTCTTATTTTTGTACATAGAACTTCTGGTGTTGCATGTCCCCAGCATTCCACATAAAACTCTTCAGTTGTCCCACTTTGAGGGAAAGAAGGGTTTAATCATGAGCTATGATTCAATGAGGCAGGAAGATGAAGAATACTTGAGAAGTCTGTACAGATATTCCTAGTTGTTACAGCAGAAAGAGAAGTGTTTTGAAACCTGAAGTTGTTCTAAGTCTTATCTGGAAGACAATTGGTTTACAAGAGTTAAAAAAAAAATTCCTCAGTGCCAAACTCCAGAAAACAAGATTATGGAATGACTAGTTCAATTTCACCTGGTGCTTCAGACTCTCTAAATTCTCCAACTGCTTCTGAAGCATCAGCAGCTCTGCTTCTTTTTCTGAAGCTTTGTTTTCCTCATTGTTAATTAGTTCTTGTTGCCATTTCAGCTTCTTCTCAGTTTCAAGGCTCTGGACAAAAATAAAACAAAAATAATATAAAGCTATTCTTGAACTAAAGGATGAATTAAGCCAGCATAACTGGGTTACTTAGGGTATGTCTACACAGCACCATTATTTCGGAATAATTGATGTTATTTAGAAATGAAGCGCACATCTACAAACAAGCAATTATTTTGATAATGTCTAGCCAGAGAACTTCTTACTCCAACTTCCCTTACTCCTCGTACAACAAGAGTTACTGAAGTCAGAGGGAGAGTGCTCTATATCAAAATTAGTGTTGTGTAGACGTGCCCAAATTTGAAATAAGCTATTTCGATTTAAGCTATGCAATTAGCATACCTCAAGTTGCTTAACTCTGCTGTGTATATGTAACCTTAGTATGTTTAGGAAAGGCAACACTTCTGTAAGCAGCACTGAAATGCTTTTAGTCTAATGTCTTTAGGCAACAGAAAAACAGCTGTAATATTTTGACAGTGCAAACAACCATACAAAATGCTAAATGTTCTACAAACAAGACTGACTTGTATCTCAGAGATATGGTGATCAGTATTAATCACCATTTTACAGGTGAGTAATATAAAGCAGTGGGACAAGGCAAATTGTTCAAGGCCCTATAACATGTCATTACCTCCCTGAAGTTCCTGAATTTGAGTCACATATTAAATTGATCAGGTATTCTCTCCAAGAAGTCTTTAAAATGCTTTTTAAAAATAAAAGACATTTGTAATGCAGTATTATAACCAGGGCTCACCAAGGGGTGGTGAGCCCTGCTTGTCAGCCATGTGAAAGCGCTCGCTGCGCGGCCCTGCTGGCTTAAAATTTACTCACCACTGTCAAATAGATTGAATCATTTGTTGAGCCCTGATTATAATTAATTGAAACATTGCAAATAAGTAGTTACATAATGGACCATTAAAACAGCACAACTGACTCTTTAAAAAAGATACACCATATTAGGTATATAGTCATGTCAGAAGACTAAACAGAATTCCAACATTCCTATTAATAGTAATTAAGGCTAGGCCAATAATGATATGAAGTTATTAATAAGTGCCTGTAGTAAGATGAGGGTCCGAAACAAAAGCCCATATAGCACAGACCTGGTTTGAGTCTTGAGATCTAGCTACAAAACTAGGCTAATACAAAGCAAAGCTAAGCTGTGAGCAAGAGACAGGTCCCTGCTCACCGAACTTGGCACAGAACAGGGCTGAGTGCGCAAAACACTAATTGGCAATAGGTCCAAGTGTAGAACAATAATTAGTATATGTTGAAAGTACATTCTAAAAGGATAGTATCACCAGCTTGTTAAAAAAGACCTTGGTACCCACTCTCCACACAGTTACCCACCCAAGTTCAGAAAAGGGTCTAAAATGACAGCATGATGGACTCAGATGTTCTACTCAAACCATGAAGTGCAGGGTGATATCTAAGTAGCACGAGAGGGTGGCAACCTGACTCGTCAGGAGTGATGTGTAACTTGTTTGTACCTGTATACAAAGTGGTGTCTTTGGGGGACAGTGATATTTCCCACTGATTGAGCTGAGTCCATTGTTACAGGGTACATATATGTAGTAGTTCAGTATAGTCTACTGACAACTATTACTATACTTTGCTTAACAATAAGCCTGGCCAGGTGCCTTCAATCCTTATGTGATTTGTAGTCTTTGGGGGCTCTCTGGGAATCTGCTGTGTTGACTAATTGCACAAGTCAACACAACACACATGACTGAGCACACATGCATGCAGCCTTCTGTTTATCATCACTGACAGAACAGACGACCTGTCAGGACACCACGACAATAAATCCTAACCTGGCACCCATCTGGTGGTCAGAGTAATTTCTGAGAGATTATTTGCATAATTTATATTCATAGATTACGATCAGCAGGGCTGTCCCTAGAGGGACACAGGACTTGCGGTAACCCTTGTTCCCGCAGGCCCGAGCCCATCCCTTTCCCAGGCCTCTATACCACCTACCCCCTTGCACAAAGTCCCTTTCCTGATTGATGTGAACTGTGGAATTACTGGGGGTGGGGAACCTGGCACCAGGCAGCAGCAAGGATTAGACCCCCAAGAACTCATGGCAGTGGCAAAAACCTGCTCTGTTCTGCCCCAACTCCCTCTCCCAAAACATCTTTTAGAGAGAAACAGCCAATGCCCATTTAAAAATTGCCAGTGCTACAGAATCCATCACAGCCCTTGTAAATTGTTCCAATGGCAAATCTCACCTTTTCAAAAGAATTATGCATTTTTTTCCAGTCTGAATTTGTCTACCTTCAGCTTCTAACTGGATCATGTAACATCATTCACTGATAAGCTGAAGAGGCCATTATTAAATAG